GAGAGAGAGAGAGAGAGAGAGAGAGAGAGAGAGAGAGAGAGAGAGAGAGAGAGAGAGCAGGGGGTGGGGGGGGGTAATAAACTTGCAGTTTCTCAGCGAGCTGTAACATTACCGGGGCGTTTTTCCAATTTCTGTACAGGGACTTTTCTGCAAATTCCCAGGCCACTACCGCCTGGGCCTGGTACCGGTCAGGTAGGCCATGCTGTTTTGTGGGGTCCTAGGGTCCAGTACGTCGTAGGTTAGAGGTAGAAATAGCTGAAGTGCGATTTACTTTGGGTTCTTTTTCCGTTTCGGTGTCTGGGGAAATGCTGCCAGGTTGTGGAGTGACGCCCCTGCAAGGGAGGACGACCGCCATAGCTGGGGCGGTAACCCACGCAGGCCTAGTCCCTACAGGGACTTCTCTGCAAATTCCCAGACCCTATCTTTTCACTACTGCCTGGGCTTGGTACCGGTCAGGTAGGCCGTGCTGTTTCGTGAGGCCCTAGTGTAATGAAGCCTGCAGATTCTCAGTGGACTGTACATTGGGCCGAGGGCGAAGCTCGGGGCTTGCCTCGGTCGGGTCGCGTCTTAGGTTAGATTCGTAATTTTGTTTGGCTGAGGACTAACCGAGAGACCTATCTGTAAGGAATTAATGATAAAAGAGCCTATTCTACCAAGTAGTGCTAATTTATTCATCTTTATAATGGCTCCAGTCATTACATTTATGTTAAGTTTAGTTGCTTGGGCAGTAATACCTTTTGATTGTTGTATGGTACTGTCAGATTTAAATGTAGGTATACTTTACATATTTGCTATTCAAATTCGGGAAAATACAGGCGCGTACTAACTGAATTTCCTACAACTACCCTAACTGCGTATAGCAGGCCCAGGCTACCCCTAGAACAGACAGGCCCTATGGGCCTATTCTGAATAGACGGTCCTATAGCCTATAGCCGGGTCCGGTACACGCCGAGAGGCCGAAACAGAAATGGTACCGGTCGGTCAGTCAGTCCGGTCTAGGTCGAGTCTAGGCTAGTTAGAGTCTATAGATAGATTGGGCACATCGGTTCAGGGCTTTTGGCAGTTGGTACCGTGTACACCGCTGCTGCGCTACGTGTGAACCGGAAGTGGTGACGGCTCACCGTGGAAGGAGACGGGCATAGCCAGACCTTCGGAGTGCAGGCCATAGCTGGGACCTGCGCTGTACTCTGCCAGCACGCAGGGGCTGACAGAGGTCTGGGTTATAGAGGTCTGCTGGAGGCGAGAGAGATTGGTGCCCTGCTGGACCCTCCTCCGGACTGGGGTCCCAGAGGGTTTGCGCTGCAGCCATAGCTGCAGCTTCTTCATCTCAGAGGTCATCTTGTCAGGGTTTGGTGGCGCTGCTGCAGACTTCACCCGGGAAGTCTCCCTACACTTCGTCATCATCAGATACTGTGGCGCTGGTCTTCTTCTTCATCCTCTGTGTAGCGCTTGGCCTCAGAGGCCTGTTTCAGGGTGGCGCTGCCCCCAGGAGGCTGTATCTGGGTGGCGCTTGATGATTCAGGGGCTCAGGGGGTGTTACGGGTGTTACTCAGGGTTGGGGAATGAAGCGCTGCTGTTCCCTGGATGTGATCTATACTATGATAAACAGCGCACTGTAGTACTGAAGTTATCTTGACTATTTGAGACTCTGAGTTTAATAAACAGTATGATACTGTGTGTGGACTATCATCGTTTCACTGTTCCCTGGATGTGATATGCTTGGCTTTTCTCTATGACTGGTTGTGAGGATTGAGTGAAGTGAATTGCACTTTCAGTGTACCCTGTCATATCGCATGGTCAAGTCTTCCGCTGTGTTTATCTCTCCCTGTGCGGTGTGATACTCCTATCCTCTCCCCTTCCTTCTGTGTATGTATGGGCATGTGCAAAAGTCTATGCGAGTGAGTGTTGGCCTTCAGGCAACGAACAACCAGAATCATAACACTAGGGTCCAATAGGCCGTAGATTAGCTGTAGAAATAGCTGAAGCGCAATTTCCTTCGGGTTCTTTTTACGTTTTGGTTGTTAGGGAAATCCTGCCAGGTTGTGGAGTGACGCCACTGCGAAGGAGGAAGACGCCCGCCATAGCTGGGGCAGTGAGGTGACAAGGGAAGAGCGCTGCGCAAGTTCCGCTGATGCTGTAAGGAGTGCCGACACATCTGTGTTGTTGGGGAGTTGGGCGCTACTGGTATTTCGTTCGGGGGCTGGCGCTGACCTGGCGCTTGAGGGTTCATTTGGGCGCCAGAGCAGAGAAAGCTCTGGAAGGGTGGCACTGGCCTGCTGCAGTTTCCGCCATGATTGCAATAACCAGAAACTGTGGAGTGGGAGTGAAAGGAAGGAAGAGTCTCCTGACGATTCGTTAAATATCTTGTCGGAGTTTGTTCGCAGTTGTTTGAACACGGTTGGGATTCTGGGAATGGTAATATGATTGGTTGGAGAAGGGCGAATTCAGATTTGAAGTTCATAATTCAAATCTATTTTTGTATATGCGGCTTCCGCTGAGTATCTCTCTCTGGTTTTATGTGGATTTGCCTTCTCCAAGTCTGCTTCATAATTGCATGTGCGTATGGGATCTTGTGAAGTGTGTTCTGGATTGTGTTTCAATCAGTTACATAACCCACACACACACACACACACACACACACACACACACACACACAGAGAGAGAGAGAGAGAGAGAGAGAGAGAGAGAGAGAGAGAGAGAGAGAGAAGAATGGCTACTTGCTTACCAACACGGGTAGTCAGTACCATCCTCCCTGGAATGGAATGTATGGTCATTATCACTGTATCTAGACTGGAAATACCCCAAATACGGACAACAATGGCTATTTGCCTAGCACGTACCATCTTCCCCCGAATGACTTACAATCATTATCGTTGTGTCTAAGACTGAAAGTTGGCCCAAATAACTGTACGTACTATTCCGGGAAAGACAGTAGTACCATCTGATTTTCAACAAGGTGAAGCTCATTGTATTGGCTGCAACAACAGCACGCCACCAACATCGTCACCGCCATGACCGCCATGGCTGTCATGATGATCATATGATCACTGCCACTATGATCACTTGCGGTTAACGACCACTTGAAATTTCAGAATGAAAGATTCTGAAGTGGTCTGAAACCGATGAAATGGCCTGAAGACACTTCAGGTCATTTCAGAAGTTTCGGGTGGTTTGCAGGACAAGTTTTCTGTTTTTTTTTTTTTTTTTTCAGCCTGTTTTTTCAGCCACTTCAGGTCATTTCAGGAATTTCAGGTGGGGACCTGAAACTGCTGAAGTGCCTGAAGCTTCTGAATGGGGTTTCAGGTACCCCCATCCAAATGGTTGGATGGGGGTACCTGAAACCCCTTTCAGAAGCTTCAACCACTTTAGGCCATTTCAGGAATTTCAG